ACCCCTTTTCCTCGGTTCTCTCATATCCAAGCACACTTAGCTGTGGCCTGGCAAAGCATAGTATGTATGGATGGCTTAGAGGGGTCGGGGCAGTGACCGTCCATCCAAAGCCAGCAAATAAATGGTGAGAAGGGTGAATGCATGTTCTTTGAGCAGTCTGTATGCACACAGGGGAGTGGGCTGCACACCAGGTGAGGGAGGGCTGCACACCAGGTGAGGGAGGGCTGTACACCAGGCAGCTGTGTATCTAGCTCCCACATGCCTCTTCCTCGTCTACCCACCCAGAGTTTCTTTGTATACAAACAGCACAGGGCAGATACTCCGTGTAGCATTGTCTCTATGGATACTTGACAAAAGGTAACCATTGAGAGGCCTTTTTATTTCATTTGTAGGATGCCTAGAGAATAGTTTGTTTTTAGGTCCTTACTCCTTATGGCATTTTATAGTCACTGTCTTTCAAGCTAAGGACCAAAGGACTCTCTCTCTCGGAGAGAAAGTTGGGCAGCAGAGGAGTGAATTGCTTCCCAGGCCTGTGACTGGAGCAAAGCTCAAAGCTCCATTGTCTTTTACCTTATTAGCCTATGGAATGGTTTTATTAGAATATTCTAATTTTGCCAGACTGTGGATAGATTTTGTTTCTTTTTTCCACTTTTAATCATTGGTGGAAAAGTAATAATACCCAATTTCACAAGACCTTTTCTGTGCTTGATTTTTCATAAATTAGACATTTCCCCCCTTAATTCTTTTTTCTTGATTCTCTACAGAATAAAGATACAGCCAGTTCCAAGAAAACAGAAACAGATGGTTTCTTCTTTGTTATATGACCCTTGACAGTGACTTCCCTGTCTCCAGGCGATTTCTCCTCTATCATTGTCTGACTGACATAAGGCTTACCTTAAACCCAAGTGAGCCAGTTTGCTATTTATTGTTGCTTCACAGATCCAGCTTTTTAAGGCCATTTCCTTGACCATCATACCTGTGGTCTTGAGTGCTAGATGATGGGTTGGCTACTGGCTCACTTACTAGATTGGTCCTGCTGGATTGATGCCCTTGTCATTTACTGGGAGGCCATCTGTATGTGCCCTTCATCCTGTACCAAACCCAGGATCTGGCACTTAGAAGACACCAGAGGTGTTCCAAAGGTCAAATGAGGGAGCAGATAGCACAAGCCAGAGTCAGCGGGACTCAGCACCTTCACTGAGAGGTGAATCGGATTGTGCTGTCAGGGCTTGGCTTCCCAACTGCCAAGGACAAGGGTGAATTCAAGGCTCCAAGACATGTTCTTAGAAGCCGGCAGCCCTCTGGAGGTGGAGGGGCTATGCTTTGGGCCAAGGAGAATAGAAAATGATTTGGGTTCTGGGGAGCCCAAAGTATGATTCTTTTAAAATATGATCTGTGTCACTGTGCACTTTGGGGGTGAGAAGAAGGCACGGCTTTATTGTGGCTATCAAGCAGTTGAGTTTATATGAGTGGAAAGGATCAGGAAGATCAGGAAGGTGTTTCTAAAAGTACAGATTTGGAGAATATGCATAAACACACAGGCATAAAGACGGCCTGAGTGGCAGGACACAACTGGAACAATGGCACAGACATTTTTTCCAAACAGGATACACACATGGCTAGCAAACACATGGCAAGATGTTCCACATCTCTAGTCATTAGGGAAATGTAAATCAAAGCCTCCTCGAGATACCGTTTCACGCCCATTAGGGTGGCTATTATCACAAAAATGGAGAACAAGTATTGGCGAGATATCACTGCTGGTGGAGAGGAATGTAAAATGCTGCCATTTCTGTGAAAAAGCATATAAAGATCTTTCAAGATAATTAAATGCAGGATAACTCTGTGATCCAGAAATTCTACTGTTTGTACACCAGAAACTGGAAGCAAGGCCTTGATGTTTGCAGACCCTTGCTCATGGCAGTTTTCACACAAGTGACAGCCAGTGGGTAATAGAGGTGGCCCGTGCATACAGTGGGAGCTTGTTCAACCTTAAAAAGGCAAAGGAAGCCAGGTGCCAGTGGCTCACGCCTGTAATCCTAGCTACTCAGGCAGCTGAGATGTGAAGATCTCAGTTCAAGAACAGCCTGATCAGGAAAGTCTGTGGCACTCTTATCTCCAGTTAACCCCAGAAAAAGCCCAAATGGAATGAGGCTCAAGAGGTAGAGCACTAGCCTTGAGCAAAACAGCACCGAGATAACACCTAGGCCTTGAGTTCAAGCCCCAGGACTGGCATGCACCGATTCTGCCCCCCCCCCCGCCCCACAAAATGGAGGGTCCTGATATATGCTGTAACAGGAGCAACATCCAAAAGCATTTAGGTAAGTGAAATAAGCCAATTGCTAAAGGACAAAGCATCTGCTTTCGCTCTCCTGAGGCTCTCAGAGTAGTCTCATTCATAAGGACTAGAAGAGGAAACGACCTCTGTAGTGGGAAGGGAGTGTTTGTGGGTTTAGAGGTTTAACCTGGGGAGATGTTGCTGCAGGCTGATACTGCTGCCGTATCAGTCCATGCTCTGGAGGTGTGTACATATAAAGATTAAAATGGTAACTTTTGTCAGGTATATTTTTGTACACAAAGAATGTAAAAATCAAGCAGTGGGACTAAACCTCCTTGCTTCTTGTTCTGAGCCACATTTCCTGAGGGCGCCAGCTGGGTGAGACTGGGGAGATAGGGCCCCCTAGTTGTCCCAGGGTCCTCTCAGAGTCTCCACCAGGAGAAGTGCTCACACACGTCAGTGCCATTGTACAGGTTGTCGTCCCCATTTGACAGTGGAGAAGCAGAGGCTGAGAGGCTGCACTCACAATGTCACAGCACGTCCTGACACGCAGGGTCTGCTGAGAGGCTGCACTCACAATGTCACAGCACCGTAGTTACACACCAGGTCTGCTGAGATGCTGTACCCACAATCTCACCGAATTGTAGTGGCACACTGGGTCTGATAAGCTGTTGTACCCACAGTCTCACACAACTGTAGCGGCATGCTGCGTCTCGCTGACAACCATACCTGTGGTGCTTCCACTGTGCAGCTGCTCTGCCTCAGGAGAATCACACTCCTCCTTGGTGTGGCCTCTCTGGGACACCATATACCTACAGGCTGTTCCTTTGCTTTTCTGATGCCTCCTTTGGAGGGATATAGGTCAGTAAAAGCAGTCACCCCAGGCAGACTGTGTCCTGCTGGGGAGTCCACTGCAGTGACTGAGAGCTTGGGGAACAGAGCAGAAGGCCAGGGCTCCTCCAGCTTCCCACAGCAGTGGGAGGTGAGGGTGAACACTCACTTCTATGCTTTAGCAAAGTGGGCACTGCCAGTGTCAGACCTGCTGCTCGCCCACTGTGCCCTGACTTCCGCCCTTACTGCCACCTCCAGAGCACGCTTCCTCTCGGGTTTGTCAGTGACCACCTGGATGTGCTGGGGGCCTTCTCACACCTGCGTGGACATGCCTCAGGGACAGCCTGCTCCTGCCTCCTGGTGCGCACCGCGTTGGATGTACGTCGCACCAGCCCTTGGTTCCTGGCTTGTTCGTGCTCTTGATATCAATGGTCTGTGGGACCATCGCCAGGTCCAGGCCACGGAGCTTTTACCCCTATGTTTTCCTCTAAGCGTTTTCTCTGAAGTTTTTATTGCAAAGGGCCATATGGTAATATTCCAGACTTTGCCAGCTGTAGAGGTCTTTGTTGCCTATCCTTGTTTTATTTTGTTTTGATTTATGACCTTAAAAAAAAATCAGCTCTGTATTTACCTCCCAGGCCATATGCAGATAGCCGATGGCCAGGTTTGGCCATGGGTCACCGTTGGCACAGTTGGTTTGGAATTGTGCTGTTGGAAGAGCTGATTTTTTTTGTAATCAGAACCTAGCTGGGGTGGAATGTCTTGTTGCTATGGTTACTCTGGGAGCTCCACAAGCTCCAGACTCCTTCAGAGTTGGCTTGTGTGCACATGTGCGTGCACATGTGTGTGCGCGTGCTGCAAATGCAGCTTTTCCCATAACAGCGTTGGTCCTCCCCCCTCACTTTCCCTTCCCTGAGGGCAGCGCCGTGGTGGATCTTTACAGGCCTCCGAGGGGCTTTGAGGCCCATGTCAGAGGCAGGTGAGGCTCTCTGCTCTGCTTTCCCCTCCTGGTCTCAGGTGGGGGCCTGAGCCTCTGGGACGTTTGTGCAGGGTCCTGGCTCAGCACCCTCACCTTCCCTCCCCGGGCCACAGTTTTGCTTATGAGGCCCTTGCAGGTGGCCTTGGCCTGCCCTAAGGCTTTGCTTCATGGGGGAGGTTCAGGCAAGGTGGGGCTTTCCCACGGCGGTGCTGATGACCTCTTCCATGCCTGAACCCCTCAGAGAGGCCTTGGTGATCCTCCTGCCGTGCCATGGGTGTGAGCACAGGGGGCATCCATGAGCAGAGCCTGGGGGTGGGGAGCTTCCAGGCCCGTCTGCGTCCTGCGAGTGAGGTCAGCACATGTTGAACCCCCATCAGCCTTTCTCAGCCCCACACATCTTTGCCCAACTGGGTGGTGACTCCCCTTAGCCTATACTGCTGCCGGCTGCGGGTGTCACACCTGCCCTCCCGCGTGGCCCTCTTTGCCCTTAAACTCACCCCTTACGCAGGTCCAGAAAGTGCAGCGAATGTGGGTCTCTGGCCTAGCTTTTACCGACCATTGCCTGGGAGCTGGCCTCCCACATGCCACCTCCCCGATAGACCTCCTGTCTACCCTGTGTATTGAAGGGATGCTCACTACAGTGTGTGTTTTCTACCTAAAGTGCTATATCTAGCCACAGAGAGCATTCTGGAACCTCTTTGCGTGCATATGTAGGCTGAGGATTGTGTAGAGATGGGGTGTCACAGGAATGAGGGCACCAAAGGGCTGGGGCTGGGCAGGGTAGGAGCTGTGCAGTGCTAACACCACTGCTGCTGGGCTGGTCTTTAAACTCTGGCTAAGTGAGCCTACCTCCTGACTAGGAGTGCAGATCAACTAGTGAGTGCTGACTTGTCCTTTCCTCTGTTGTTTTAGACTCTGGAAGCTGTACTGAATTTCAAGTACTCTGGAGGACCAGGCCACGTCGAAGGGTATTACAGGAACCTCTCCCTGGGTCTGCACGTGGAAGTTGAGCCATCTGTGTTTTTCACACGAGTCAGCACACTCCCTGCAACCAGGTACTCGGGCTACAGCGCTGTGGGTCTCCCCGTGTCTCCCACCCGCCCCTCAGATCTGCGCCCTGGGCACCCAGGACTGAGGCTCTTCATTAGACACGTGTTCCACAGGAGTGGCCCCTCCAGTGGTCACACAGGAACTGGCTGTGGGTGCTGGCAGTTTTCATGTGAGCTCTTCTGGCGCAGCTCCTTTCTCTGGTTAGCGGGGTCAGCAGAGCTCTGCATGTGCTGGGGACTCCTGGAGGAGCCCGGCATCCCTGTGTGCTGCTTCCCATCAGCACAAGTGTTCTTGCCCGGGGCCCAGCTGTGGAGCAGCTCTATGAGCGCTCAGTCACAGGCAGCCACAGGCTACTCTGCACACGGAGCCCCTCTTGTCCAGCTGTGCTCTCTAACACTGGCCCTTAGAAAAGGCTTGAGCTCCCTTCCAACTGGTTTATCTACATCCCAGACATGTCAGGGGGTGCTGGGGTCTTCTTCTCTCAGGCAGAAGGGTGGCAGTTCTCACCCCACACTTTGACCTGTGGTGAAGTGGAAGCAGTGGGGACTGGCAGCCCTGGGTAGAGCCCCAGGCACTGGAGACCCTTGAAGATCACAGTCCCGTCCAGGTGGCGCAGCCTCCGGGAGGCAGGCGCGGGCCTCCGTGAAGCTGGCAGCATCGTCAGGCAGAACCACGCCTTTCACGTGCACAGAGAGGCGGACCAGCTTCCTATTATTTATTCTTAATGGAGTTAAGCAGCACTGATGGCAACCATTACTTGTCCTTCTTTGAACATGAGGCAGGTTGGGGGGAGGACATCTTAGGGAAACCCCACCACCCCCATTCCACAGTGTGAAACAGAGGAGTGCTGTTCTCTGTGTTAATGTTGACACAAAAGGCCATTTAAAGTGATGCAGCCCCAAATAATAAGTGTGGTTTGGTTTATTGGAAAGACCGTTTTTCTTCCCGGCGGTTGGAGAATGGCTTCAGCAAGAATTCATGGCTTCGCTGGGCCTTGCAGCATCACATTTCACCATCTGTCATTTTCTCAGTCCTCGCAGTAATGTCTTCGCTGGCAATGCTTGCCTCTGCTTTGACTCTGTCTGAAGCAGTACAGCGCTTGTCCCTGGGGAGGACTTGGCCAGGATGCTGCCAGACGATGGCAGAGCGTGCCCGGCCCTTTTGGGCGTCAGATCTGCTCCATCACAAGCCCGCAGTGTCTTTCTTTTGTCCCCCTCGGCTCCTGCTGCCGTCGCTTTCTCACTGACTCTTGAAGCAGCTCAGCTTGCTGTTGAGTTCTTCCCCCTCTCCCCCCTCTGCTGTTGATAGCTGGCTCTCCTGTCACAGCCTCCATGGCTGTAAATGTCCGTTTCAGGTAAGGAGAAAGGCTGCCACAGATTTAGGAGAGGTGGTTACTAGTTGGCATCCTGGTCAGGTCCCAACCCCCTGTCCATGGTCCTGACTTTCTCTTCTTTTGGCCTATGTTTCTGTTCCCAGCCCTTGGGCTTGTGAGCCCACCTCTAAGCTTCCTTCTCCATTATCACTAAACCTTATCGATCACTACATTTTATGGGTCAGACCTCTGAAATGTCTTTTCTCATCATTGTGGGAAGACTTGTTCTCTGTGCATCCAATCCTACTTTATCTCATCCTAAGTATGATGTATGTGTGTCCTGCTGGGCTCACACACCATCCAAGGCTTGTGATACAAAGTGCAGAGGCTGGCCCGTGCTGTGCAGGGGGCTTCGAAGCCATCTAGACCTTCCTTGTTAGCTGCTCCCAAGCACAGCCTGCCAGAGCGGCTCTGCTCCTTGTATCTCCCGTGGGCTTCTCCCACATCTTTTTTTTTCCCCCTAAAACAGTTCTTTTTCTTAAACTAGTGGTCTTTCCTTTACCTTTTGAACAGTGTGTTTGTCTTGAGGTGTATGTTACCATTCTTGCAGACTTTTCCTGAGCATGATGAACAGATGGGTGTCCCGAGCCTTCCTTGGACTTCTGATGAAGTACTGCTTACCTGCGGTCCTGCAAATGCATTCGTTTGTGCTTCAGGCTGACACCTCCCCAGTTCCAGATACATGTAGGGTGTGGTGGACAAGAGAAGGTCTCATTTCTCACTGCAGCTCATTAGGCCTAGTCAGCATGAAATAGAAATGTGACCTACATACTGATAGCAAATACATGTAAAACACTTGTTTTCTTTATTTTCCAATTTCTGTAAGAAAGGCCCGAATTAATGAAAGAAGAATAGTAATAGTTCTGTAGTGTAGAGTACATGTACAAGTGCATATGTGCAAGGTGGTGGATAGGCGTGCTTATGTTATATACAAAGCATTGCAGTTTTATGATCTCAGAATTCCGTGAACTGAAGACCCTAGCATTTGGACCCTATTATCAACTCTAAAATAAACATTTAAGGCAAAAAATAACCCAGAAGTAATACAATGGAATATTGACATATTTAATCCATCCAGGTGCTAGTTACTCAGACCTATAATCTTAGCTACTCAGCAGGCTGAGATCTGAGAATCCCAGTTTGAAGCCTGCCCAGGCAGGAAAGTCTGTGACTCTTATCTCTACCCACTAAAAAGTCTTCAGTGGAGCCATGGTTCAAGTAGAGTGCTAGCCTTGAGCAAAAAAGCTCAGAAACAGCACCCAGACACTGAGTTCAAGCCCCAGGGCTGGAACACACACACACACACACACACACACACACACACACACACACACACAAGATGAGGTATCAGAAAGAAAGAAAAAGGAGCATGTGGAACACACACAACACACACACACACACACACACACACACACACACACACACACACACACACACACACACACACACAAGATGAGGTATCAGAAAGAAAGAAAAAGGAACATGTGGCCAAGCAGTAAATACATAGCAACATGGCAATCTTCACCTGTGAAATTAAGAATTACACTAAATGTAAATGAACCAAATATTGCATCTAAAAATATAGATTGGAATTGGGGGTGGGGCTCAAGTGATAGAGCACTTGCCTAGCAAGCACTAGGAAGTTAAGACTTCAGTGCTTGGGGGTGCGTGGAGGGGAACACATACTCACAGTGGGGATTGCCATACTCTATCAGACAGTAAGATGCAGACTGTAAGCTTCCTGAAAGAAGCTGGCATTAGGCTGCATAGCATAAAAGTAAAAGTTGGGGGGAAAGAATTATTGTGCAAAGACTAATATTTAAAAATTGGTGTAGGTTTATTAGTATAAAATAGGTAGGCTTTCAAGAGGAAAGAGACAACACAATTTTTAGTGATAGAAGAAGCAAGTTATCTCAAGTACATAACAGTCTTAAATACAAATATAGTTAAAAATGTAATTCCAAAATAAAAGAGCTTACCCTCAAAATGATGCCAAAGAAAAAAAGCTGAATAGTTCAATGTTTGTTTCAAATTTGGTAGAAAACAAGTAGAACAAAAAGCAGCCCAGGAAAACAGCAGCAGACTTACAGATAATGCTGCTAACAAACTCTGCTTATATAATAGTGAATGCTTATTTTTAGAAAACGTGAGGTTTAAAATCAGTGTCATAGCTTCTGCATTAGATTATAAAGAGCAACTGGTGCCAACAGTGAATAGAAGAAATTATAATGAGAGGATTGGATGTTATGAAACAGAGATTGTAAAAAAAAAAAAGCCATAGAGTTAGTGAAGTCAACATTTGGTTCTTTGCAAAGGCTAATAATAAAATTAATAAATTGTAACCAAGGAAATCAAGGGAAAAATAAGCAGATACAATGATCAATGGTAGAAATAAAAGAAGTGGCAGTCTTCTGGATTCTGCAGCTATTGAAAAGATTCTAAGAGGAATTGTGAAAAGTCCTAGGACACAATGTTAGCTCTGACACACACATGAATAGTTAGATGAGTCAGAAAATTTAAATTCCTAATTAAAAATTTCCCACAAAGCAACTGTCAGCCCAGATAGCTCCACTGCAGAAGATACCAAGCCTTTTGTCTTGTGTGTAAGTTTATCTGCTTTGAGGAGAGCAAGGGGACACAGAGCTGGTGGAACAAAGGGTGGACAAAAGCAGCAGTGATACTCACTGGACACCATATTGAAAATGAATGTATAACTTGTGGGGAAGGGGGGTCAGGAGGGAAAAACTGGGAGGACACAAGGGAAGAGGTGACACTGTTCAAAATCAAATGTACTCTTTACCTGACCTATGTAATGGTCACCCCTCTGTACATCACCCTTACAATAACAATAAAAATATATATTAACAAAGGAGAGATATTCTGCCATTTTTACAGAGAATCTTTCAAGCCAGGCATGGTGTGTTCAGCACCCTGTTCTTCTCCAGAGAGCTTTGGAAGTGAGCGTCCGCCCTGGACATACCCAGCACCTCCCCTAGTGGGTGAAGACGTGGGCTGAACTGGGGTCTGAGCACCACACTGAGGCCTTTGGCCATTACTGTGGGAAGTGCGTTTGCTGCTCCTTCATGAGAGACTGTAGATTTCTTTCCTAGTTTCAGTTTCCCAGTCCCTTTCCATCTGGATAGTCTTTGCCCTTCTTATGTCATCAGAGTGATAAGTAAAGCAGATTTAACAAGGGCAGAGGCCAGTTTTTCTGAAGGCTGCCATCAAGCACTATATAATCTTGTGATTGTTTTGAACCATTCTCCCTCCTGGGTATATAGAGGTCTCCACCAACTTTTCTTTGGAAGATCAATTGCCTGTGTGGTTCACATTGTACACAGAGCTGCGTGGTCATATTCTCAGGGACCTGTTTGGTGTAGACCAGACTCACCGTCCCTGTCAGAGTGCCATGCTCCCTTCTCTCTGGGGCAGCAATTCCTTTTTAGCTTGTTACAATAAGTGATCCAATCTGAGACATTTCAGCTGTGAGCTTTGTGGAAAATACACTCCTCAGAGGAGGGCGCAGGGTGTAATAGGTACTGCATTATTAATAGGCACCCTAACACTTGCCCTCAGTCATTTAGAGAAATTCCACTTCCCCCGTGCAGGGATGGGGTGTAGGAGACCTGCGCT